CATGTTCGGATAATGATTGATGGATGCCTTTTTTTTTTTATAAAATGTATGAATATATGTGAACACTTTGACATTAAAACTTTATGAAGGTTATTCATTTATATGTATTATTTTGGATATTTATTTATTGACAGTTAAGTTAATATTTATATTTATATTATTTGTTGATAGTTACTATTAGTTGGACATTTTTTTTTATTGCAAAAGGATGGTTAAGCCAAAAATAAAGGCAGCCCTTCAAGGATAGTCCAATGGCACTCGCCTTTCTGATGCTTGACCTCTTGTGCCAAATCCTTTCTTCAAATTGTGGACTCCCACTCCAGTGGTAGATACTCATGTAGAGCTAGAGATATTAATGTAGAATCTAACTACTCGGATCGAAACCTCTACTCTGGATGCTGTTATTGTGTCCAACAATTTCTCGTAGGCTAAGGGTTGATGATTGAGTCTCGACTTGCCTATTCTCGTCTAGACTGACACATACTTTTGCATCTTCTAAGAGGAGGTAATTAATGTATTTTACTAACGATGTATTGATTTTGTAGTACTTTTGATAAGACTAGAGTTACTTCAACCATAACGAGAAAAATTAGGAGTAACTTTAGTGAACCTTGGCCAACATGGAGGAATGTTCCTTAGGAGCATAAGGATAACAGGTGGTGTAAATTCAAGGCAATGTAAGGATATAGGATTATTGTATATCTATCATCATTTTCTGTACTAATATATATTTTTTTGGATGTAAGAATCTTTTACATGAGCTACTGTAAATGCAATGAAGGTCCGTAACAAATAAGAGAAGATTTGTAAGGACTGCCTTAAGGATCTACTAAGGGATGAACATGAGAAAGCCAAGAAGGATGCGGACGGCCTCGACATTGATCTCCTATTGATGAAGGATAAGTTGCGACCCTTGATCACAGTAGAGATATGGGACTAGTTAGTTGATAACATATGGTCCACACCTGTGTGGTAGACACGCTCACACAAGGCTAAGTAGAATCGCTAGACAAAGAAGGACAACAGAGTAGCAAAACATACGGACGTTTATTTACTTTTTCCCTACACCAAAAAAGAATGATATGTGTTTTTATTGTAGTACTACAAAAAATGATTCGCTTTACTTCTTGTTTTTTGTGTCGATAACAATTGCAATACCATGCAATGATATGTTTGTTTTATTCTTTTTGTCTTTTTATGATTGTAGTTTGAGGAAAAGCAGAGATAGGTGACGTTCTTCGAGCTCTTTGAATGCATTCACAATCAATAGAAATGTATTAGAGAATTTGTGGACAATAGGTCCAAGGTTGTTTGTGTAAGTTATAATATGTGTGTTTATATTCAATGTATATGTTGTTTACCAATTAAATACCATAATAATTTGAATTACTTTTCTATTTGTAGAAATCATATGCTTTGGCTTTATTGCAGAAGTAAGGTGGTGCAATATCGTCTCAATTGGAGTTGGATCCTTATGCATGGTCTGACATAATTGGAAGGCCGAATAGTACTTAGACATTTGTTTACGGATTTGGAACTAAAGTCTCTGCTTTTAGACTTCTAACTCTAGTAGTGATGTCTGAGTCTTCTTATCGTCCTAACATTGCACGACCTCGTTCGCCTTTTGCACTTAAGCTCGAGAGATATCGGCAATTAGTTAGTAACAATGGGTTTTTAATGACATTATGGGCAATACTAATAGCTTGGTAGAGGTGATTGCATCAAGGTTACTGCTTTCAAACCCTTTCATTTTCTTGATCACAGCAATCGAGTCCTTCGCCTCAACCACAACAGCAGCAACAGTAGCAAGATGAAAGCCACCCCTTTAGTGATTGGGTGCTCGATACTTTTTTGTATTTTCATACATTTCATGAATGGTTACAGTTAGATTTTTTTTATTTGTATTGCTCATGGTTTGTATTATATTTTCATATTTTTTACATGCATATATGTTTGTTTTTCAATAACTTCATCATATAATAATTATATTACCAATAGGACATAATTGAGTTTAAAAAAGAAAATGATTTCGTAGCTATTTTCGATGAAATTCATCCATTATCGATAAAGTTATAACAAAAATACTAACAGATTATCGACAAATTCTAAGGCATAACTAATGGATATGGCTTTTGCGCTTCAAAATTGACTCCATCAAGGTTTTGTTGGCAATCTATTGGTAATTATACTGCTAATATATCGATGGAATTACTAATGGATTTATTCCATCTCCCTTTATCAATGAAATATATTGACGGATTGACATGTGTTGGCAAAGCTATTGACAAAAATTGTTGACGGATTTTTCCCATTACCTACGAATATATTGACCGATGGATCTGAGCCTTTGTCGACAAATATACTGATAGAATATTCTTTTATCGATGGATTTTCCATTACCAACAACAATTATGCCAATCGTATGCTGATGAAAATTTTTGTTGGTAATTTTGTCGATAATGTGACATATGGACGAAATCAAAAGTATCACTAGCTAAATTTTCCGTCGATGATACCTTGTTTTTTTAGTAGTGTTAGGGGGAGGAAAATACTTTCTCATCTATCTAAGATTTATTTGATCATTATTGATGCAAGATTTGTATTGTATTGACTTTTATTCATAAAGGAGAGAAACTCACCTTGATCTAAATCGATTTAGAACTTATATCTTTCACAGGAGTGTGAGTTGAGAAGGTTCTGATATCACTTGTTATGAGTTTACATTTTTAATCCGAATGATATATTTAGTAGGTGAAAGAAGACCGTTAGTTATAAGTTCAAAACTCATCTTATTTCTTACTGACGTGAAATTCATAAAATTAAATTAAAATTTAAAAATAATTTTTGAATATATATATATATATATATATATGTAACAGTTAAAATTAATCTACCCAAGTGAAAAAAGGAAAAGAAAAGAAAAGGTTCGAAGAGACTGAGTGATGGGAATCCCGTCTTTGGTTACTCCTTGTATACGTCGATGACCGAGAAAGGAACCTATCTATTGTGCCCTATTCTTGTTATCAAAAGGAGAAAAATTATTATATTCCAGGATTTGGGTCAAATTAAGTGAAGTTTCCCGAAAGTCTTCTGAATACCTTCATGGTGTGTTACCAAGGTTTTTGGTTGCTTTTAATTATCAGATTTTAGCGTGAATGAGTAATGCTTGTCATTGCCGTGTGTCTAGTCTTTTTTCTATGCACTTTGAACTTGTCTATAAGTAAACTGCTTTCGTTAAAATCCAACTAGCATTCAAACTTAATCCTAATATACTAACGTTTAATAGATTTTCTTCAACCATACATTTCATTTTCTGCCTGTCCTCATCTTCTTTACTTTTCTTCATTTCATTGCTATGCCAGATAATAATATTATAAACCCCATATTCAAAGTCTATATAATGTTTTATTGATTTATTTTCTAATCCTCAGGCAACATTAATTGAAGTAATCTTCCTTGTTTCCCCAACAAACCCTTCCCCCCCTACCCCCCCCAAAAAAAAAACACAGAGAAAAAGAAGTTTGATATTTTGTAAAAACGGAATTTGATAATACAGCAGATCATTTCTATAATCGATATGGTATTACGATACAAAAAATAGAATTTTTTAAGACTCCCATCTCGAAAGTTATAGGTTCGAATATTGTGTTAGAGAAGACAGAAAATTATGAAAAATGAGTTAATAAATTATATGTGATGATATGCAAAGGAATAAGGGGTAAGAAATGCTTGGTAAGATGAAATTTTATTCCTAAAAGTGAGAAAGTTTAAGCAATGACAAGAGACAAAATTGGTAGAAAAATCTCCTCAAGTTTCAAATACAAAAAGGCATTTGGTTTGTGAAATCAAATGATCCGCAATCAGAGCATGCCCCCTCTCCCCCCCAATTTTGAAAGCTAAAAAACCAACTTCTTCAACTGAGACTGGCCAACAACTTTGAAAATTCTAATTGTACTAAAACAAACCAAGAAAAATGAGCTTAATAAGCACTTATTAACCAAACCCATTTTATGCATAAAGTAAAGTATGATCATAACAAGGGCACCTTCATCTTTCTTAAAACCTGCATTCCACTCATTTTTTAAGGCATAAGGAAGTTGAAAGATATTTTAAATTTTCATCGTGTTCACTTTATTTTGTACTGATTTTCCAACCCATTGAACTAATAATTTTTGTTAGTCAAATATAGATTAATTGCTATCTTTATATATTGTTGTTCTTATCGTCCCAAAAACATCAATTAAATTTCCAAGTCAAACAGATCAGTCTACCCTTCATTTTAATTCATACAAGCAAAATGTCAAAGGAGGAGACATTTCAAATCAACTTCTAGAAAATAGGAATAGTGTTTGACAATCATATTTTTAACATTTTCTCCTCTCTCTTTTTTTTTTTTTTTGGTCTGCATGATGAATTAGACCACAGACCACAATAATAGATTTGCAAATTTAAATGAAAATTATATGCCAGTTCCCAAGAGAATCAACTGCTAGCAATTAGTTAGCCTTGTTGACAAAATTAAATTGAAGGCATTGGAGTTTAACTTCTGGGACATGTGTGTCAATCTTTTCAATGGATGCCAGCCAACTACCTCGTAGTATTAAAATTTGGGGTAGATTTTATTCAGTTCGGACCCAAAGAAGTAGACGAAGTAGCACTCTAAATGACGGAAATAGTGGCTTGCTATTAGACTTTTGGATCCATTTGCAATTTTGCAGCCACTAACCAACAAAGAAAGAATACGATTAGGTCTTAGGCTTTGTCAGCAAGAATGTATGACCGAGGGGACAGTTTTTCACAAGGAGAAACTTCAAGTCGTAGCAAATGGGTTCAATCAAAGGAGAGAACAGAGAAATTTATACTAGAATGTATTCTTCTGAAGTTACTTTGCCTTCTTTTGGTGGGTGGAAACTTGGGTATAGATCATTGGAGAGAGTACACCCTTTTTTTTAAAAATATATCATTGGCTATTACCACGCGGCTAGAAATAGAGAGGGGAATCAAAGAGAAAGAAAAGATGCAGATGAGCAGTAAATCATGTGTTTAAACCATACATGTTTTGCAATCAAATAGAAGCTTGATTGCAGGTACTAAAATAATTAAGTCTAGCAGGCTTGTCCCTGATTCAACACCAACCAAAAGAGTAGACAAACATATATATAATGTACACATGCACGTACTCTCTATGTATTGCTACTTTTGATTTGAAGTAGCCAAGCTTCCTATCTTCATTATTCTAATTCCTAACTGACATTATTATTTGCAAGATTGAGACAGTAAAATGCTTGCGCTTTCACTGATCTCGGCTCTCCTTCGTTTCCTGTCCCGCTCTCCTTCAATTTCCAACCTCACCCCAAACAGCTTTGGACTCTCATCTTCCTTTTCTTTCTCAAACTGTGCATACTTAGCCACCAAGTCGAGAAGCTCCTTGCATTTCCTTTTCATGCTCGTCAGCTCCAAGCTTAAGACGCCGTTCTCCTCCTTGAGTCGCTTGTTTTCGTCGACTAGGCTGTTGTGTCCTGAAGACGAAGAAGTTGAGGAAGATCTCTGATCTTCGTCGGACTCTTGTGGTGACACTTGAATTGTTGCAGCAGTTTGTTGCTTATTGGCCCATGCTTTTCTTCTACGGATATTGCAAAGCAGCTCTCTGTCCCCCTTCCGAAACATTTCGTTGCAAAATTCCCATCGGCTGGTTGCCACTTTCCGAAATCCCTATAAATTTACGCATCATCAACAATTCAACTGATTAATTTGTAGCAAATATTTAGTTAGGACTTGGTGCCAACTGAGCTATGTATCTTATGTATGATAAACAATTCAAGTGATGAAGTTCGTAGCCAGTATTTCCTTAAGATCTAAGACTCACACAATTTTTATCACCGGCTGTCCAAAAATAGAGGTAGGGTTTATTAATTAAGAAATAAATAAATTCATGGCAAGTAATTAAATCTATAAACGTCTTATTATTTAGCTATGAAAATGAATTCAAATTTTGTGCTTGCCGTTGTTCAAATAACATCGTTCTGTTAAGATTAATGTTGTCAAGTACAATTATAGACTAAAATTGACATTCCTGTAATCTCAATTCAACTACAGGAGAAGCTGGTTTTTTTAAAAAATTGAAACCGTTGATTTATTTTTACTCTCTCTTCCTTGATGTTATCTGACCAGAAAATTATTTGGGGAAACTACGAAACACAGGCCTAAAAACGATTTAATTAAGAAATAAAGGATTGACCTAACTAAGTCCTTCTTGACTGTTAAAACTATGTCACCCATAACACGTTTTGGTTATTAGGATAAATTCCACATTTTACCCATACAAAACAAATATCTGATAGGCATAGAAATAATGTTATATAGTCCAGGTCGTGTTTGACTTCTCTTTTCTATTATATATATTCTTCTTTGCAATGGAAAAAAAAAAAAGAAAAAGAGAGCCATCATAAAACTTTTGACTCGTTCTAATTATTCAAAGAAAATGAAAATAAGAAAACATCTATTCTAATAACCGAGTCAACTCAACCAAAACAATAAAAATTGATGTTATAATAATATCTACTTACATAGGTATTAAGCTGCCGGACGAAGCTAGAGAAGTTGCTGTGCTTGAAAAGCGTTGGGAGGAGATCACGAGCAAACTCCGCCGGCTGCCACACCACGAACCCCGTCCCATCGGCGTTCCACGATATAACGTCGTCGGAGGTCGGATCCTCCACGAGCATATAAGTCTTCATCAAAAATGGTGGTGGGGTTGATTTCCTAACGTAATCTAACAAGCCCTTGTTACTATCACTTGCCATAGGCTCCATTACTACCCAATACAGAAAATAAGATGTATGTGTTTGTAAAGAAAATAGAGAAAATTATTTAGAAGAAGAAGAAGAAGAAGAAGAAGAAGAAGAGATTCAAGGATAAGGGGAGAAGAGAAGAAGGGCAGTTAAGAACTCCCAACCCCAACAATAGAAACCCAACACGACTCCACAGTTCATGAGAAATGCAAGGGCCTTTGCTCCTCTCTTTCTTCCTCCCTTTCCTTCCCTCTGTCTTACAAAAGAAATAGTTGAAACGTATGTACTAAGCCTACCACTTCTTATATAGTGGGGAAAATATATCATGGAATATTGATGCGCGCATATATATTATTTCCTAATTCTTTTAATTAAAATGAAATGCATATATAGCTTGTATGAGGGTCCATGTGTTACTATGGAGCTTACTTTTTCGACCACCCGATCAATAGAATTATTTAAATCTTTAATCACAGACTTTTGGATTTCTTAGGGTTTCAGTTTGACCCGTCATGATTAAAGAACAACAAAAATTTCAATGTATCTCATTTTATATAAGATTAAGGTAAAAATTTTAAATGAGGTATTATGTTATTACTTTTTTCAAAATTGTATATCTTATTGGTTGAGAGTTTCAACTCAAAATTTCGAGTTCAAATTCTAAAAGGAAAGAGATGAAACTTATAAAATGAGAGATGACTATTTCTCTTTACGTAACCTAAAATCATCAAAAATATATATGATTTGATTTAATGATTATTAATTTTCTTTATAATTGGGATAAAATCTAAATTTTAAATCTTGTATAAAAAAATTTAATGATATAATATGATCGGTCAATTAAATATAATTTAAATTCTTATGATATATTTAATAAAAAGATAAGCATATATATATATATATATATATGATCGACCTCCTGTTAACAAACCATTGTTTTAAATGAATTACGTTGATTAGTAAGAATGAAAGGATGAGATTAGTGGAACGTGGAAAGAGTCTAAATAGGGAAACCTTAGTGTAACATATTCCCCAAGACAAAAAAAAAAAAAATTCTAGTTTAGTTACTTTAGGTATGCTGAGACTTTCCACATTCTGTATTGTTCAACATCTAACGTGCAAATTCCCCTATCAAAAATCAAAATTTTTCTCTCGTTGTTGATTTGGATTTTGTCCTCCCTCATGATCTCATGCTTTTAAGTTTTTCAAGCTGGGAAGTGACCTTTTTGACTTTGTGCTATTTCCTGTCTTATTTTCTCTTGTATCAGAAGTCTTAAACCTCACATGCTTTGACGGGGAGCGTGTCCAACACTCTCCAATGAAGGACCATTGCTGTCATATGGTGGAGGATTCAATGGAACGTTGCATCGGTGTGGGAGGAGACTTCATGATCTTGAGTCGTTACTCTGCTCTGCGGATATTCTTTGTAAGTCTTAAAGGGGAGGAAGAGATCATTTAGTTATGTTTTCACTTGGAGAAAAAAAAAACTTCTAAAATATCTCAAACCCTTATTTATGGCAGAAGAATTGTATGAGATAATTGGTTTTTTTGATTATTTGTTAAATAGATTCAAACATAAGTGTAATTGATCTTGACAGTAAAATATCTAAATTTGTAAGATAAAAAAAAAAGAGTAAAAATAAAACAAAGGATTATATGCAACTTTTGTTGAGGTAAGGAAAATTCGATTAATTTTGACTTTTTTAGTAAAATAAAATGTATATTTATTATTAAATTAAATATTGAAGTACAAGAATTAATATATGTTTCTTAATACATTGACCACATAAATAAAAACCTAACGTGTAAGAGTTTTTTTTTTTTGAGATAATAAATAGTAATAAGTGTTCAGCATCAATAAAGAAGGTTTACATTAATTATTTTAATAATTAAAATCATTAATTAAGAAAAAAAGTTCAACATGACCAATTGATTTGATTTTATTAATTTTATGATTTGTTTTGGTCAACAATTTTGTCAATTTATTAACAATTCAATCAACTTCCCCAGGGAGGAAGCAGTGTGCATTGTCCACATATGTTCCTATGCGATGGCGCGTGTTGACACGCAGCTATGCGAATGGGTGAGTTGAGAGTAACCGTGGGAAGAAGAAATACAAGGCATTTGGACACATGTTGGAAGCTTCTTAATTTGGTTGGGCAGCCGAGCTTTCTTGACTTGATTTTAGTTGTAATTAATTAATTTTATATTTTTTACGTGTTTTGTAAACGTGGGCCGGTTTTTCGCAGCACTGCTGCCTTCACCAAACCACAGGGTTTTGCATTCCCATTTGCTTCAAGTTTGATCCTGAGATCTGAGAGTAATGTGAAAACTGCCCAAAATTGTGGCAGCAGCATGACAAATTGGCAATTGCAAAATTTGCGATGGATAACTCTTGCTGTTAGGTAGCGTTTCATATAAGAAAAATAAGAGTATATTTTTTATAATATATTTAATTAAATTATATTATAATTTTTATTTTATAATAAATTATTGTAATATAATATGATAATGTAATCTTATTACTTGCAATCTGATTACATTTTAAAATTAATATAATCAATTGCATTGCATTTATTAAGATATTTTTATCCTTTAACTTTATTACTTTATTAAAAATATTTTGTAATGATATAATTTATTTTTTTATATATAGATTTCGAGCGATGTCTTTTTATTATTTTCAGTAGTTACGGTGACTGTCAATAAAATTTTTATTAATTTTTAAAAAATAAAATAAAATATATAATATTAAGAAATAAAAATAAAATATATAATATTATAATAAAAAATAAAAATAATTAAAAATATATTTAAAAAATGATATTATATAAAAATTAATAATAAAAATTAAAAATATATTAAACTTGTATTTTAATAAATAAAGATAATTTTGAAAATTAATGTTACATTCTCAACAAAGTATTTATAAACCAAATGCTGTAAAGTTATTTTTTTCTACATTTTAATTATTATTTTACTTATATACCAAATAGAGCAATGTTATCTTTCCTACAATTACATTATTTGTAATCATATTATTTGTAATTATATTACATTATAAAGTACCAAACGTTACCTTAATATCTTAATACCATGGGCATGTTTTCTTGGTACTTCACCTACCCTTGGACCCAGCCATGGTAGGTGCCTTCCATGAGTTTCCTTCATGAGAATATTATTGCCCAAAGATAATGCCAAGAGATTCAATTGTCCAAAAAAATATATTTTTATGTTTAGCATATATGGAAAAGGTATTGATTAAAATCTTGAGAAAAACAATTGTTGCATCCGATCCAAAATTTTAATCTCTCGAGTGACAAGGGATCATCATCAATTTTTTTAGATATAATTACTCATTTAATTGAATTTATTTTTTATAATGAAATTTTAAACTTCATTTAAGTTTATTTTTGTTCATAATTTAAATGTTAGTTAAAAAATTGAGAAAATAACATTATTATATTTTGAGATAGTTAAAAAAACCCCACAGATTTTGCCTTGTCCTAATCCGACAAGGGTTGGTTTATTTGCTCTAGTAATAATTATGTGAATAATTAGATTTTATAATTTCTTTGGGGTATACATAACAACACTACCACAACTAAGAATTTTTATTTCAAAGTCCAAGACCTCAATCTCCCACTTGATATACATTGGGCAACAGCTTTTCCTTGAGCAAAATTTCTAGAATCTCATAAAAATACAAACAAAGAGGAAAAAATGCATCATCTAGAATGAGAAATTCAAGCCATGTTTGTTTTCTAAACAAACATGTTTGGTAAATAGCTAAACTTTAATTGATAATAACGTTGTTCATTTTACATGTTTTGCTCATCCCTCTCCCGATTTCATTAATGTTGTCTGAATTTATCATAATTTTGCATGTTGGATTCACCATTATTATGTGGTTGAAATTCAATTCAAAAGTCTCAAAAATTACAATTCCCATTACTGAGACAGCTGTAATTCGAAGTATCTTAATTCCCTGATGATTGTCTAACAGCTATTGCACTTGTTCCTATTGTGCTTAGAAAAGTTTGAAAATATAAGAATTTTTTAACTATTCAGTAAAATTTAAATAATTTTTTTAATTATATTGAATCAAACCCTTATTATTTTATTTTGATTTAAATAAACTTGTATGCTAATAGTTGACTAATTGTTATTAATCAAAATACCATTTCTCATTTTTATCGAGTGGAGATATTGTGGTATACTGACGTGTCATAATAGATAATGATGTGATATACTAATGTTATATAATACATGATAATGGGACATTTTCACACTTTATGTCAAAACTACGTAAAAATAAAATGACATGTGACATTTTGACTGATTAGTTAAGTATTAGTAATAAAAACGTATTTAATTCAAAATAAAAGTATTAAGACTTGATTAAATTTAATAAAAATAAAAATTTATTTAAATTTTTTTCAATAATTTTGATATATTTTTGAGTACTACATAGTAAATTTTTTAGTACTATATTTTTTTGATATTAGTAATGTACCTATTTGATCTTCGAAATCTTATTTTCTGATTATTGTTTTTGAACATAAGATTAGGACTTTTGCTCCTCATAATGCGTAAATTAATTTTGTATAAACCTCTTTACTTAACTCATACTATCGAGATAAGAATTGGATAATGAATTTTTGGGTTTAAACATAAAATCCAAAAGCTAGTTCTTGATTAATCACTTATATTTTATGTGCTTTTATTCAAATTAATCTTTTAAAATTAACTTACATGTGTTAAAAAGTTTATATCTAGGGTTCAAATACATAAAGCATAAGTGTTCTGCAACCAATTTTGAAGAAAATTCAAAATGGGTTAAGAATGGGCTTTTGAAATTATTTTTTTTATGATTGATCTCGATTTTGTAATTTTTAGAGTGTTTTGATGAATGAGTATTGTAAAATTAGGGTCTAAGTTTTGGTAAATTTAATTGCATTAAAACGAGCTTAAAAATCATAGAAATCAGGAGAAAATTCAAAATAGACTCAAACGGGTTGAATTCAACTTCAACCCGATTGTAAGAAGAAAAAGCATGAACCCGACGTCGATTGAAAGGTGTGGGCATGTGTGAGCCGTAGAAAGGTCTGATTTTTCTAGAATTTGATATGGCTTTAAATAATTAGTATTTAATATTTATACATTTTTATGCATGTTTATATATTTTTTTCTAATTTCTATGCATGTGTTTTGTGAATTTGTTTTATTATAAAATATTTTGGCATGTTGGGAATCTATTGGTAGTATGTACTTTT